TAACCCTACTTCTCTGTAGTCAACATGAGTTTGTAAGTATAAAGCCTGATAGGACAGGATAAAGTGCTGTAGCTTACCTCCCACATTCATTCTGCAGAAATACCAGGCTATTTGTAGTACTTGGAAGCACACTATCTTATGTCTCCACAATACGTGTTTATTTCCATTATTTAAAGTCTTACATAATACAAGTCAACATTGCATATATTAACATATTACACAACTGTGACAGTATCTAAATTGGCTGCGATACAGTTGAAATTGAGTGTTTTGGGCCCCATACTGAACTTCTTGAATCTGAATCTGCCTTCTAACAATATTCTTCAAGTAATGTGCTTGCATGTTGTGTTTGAAGAACACTCATTTGGAACTTTCATCTTTATGTAGATTCCAAAATGGCACTTAGCATCTTTACCTTTCTGGAATTACTCGCTATTTCTCATCCCCTTTTTGCCTTGTCTTAGGAAGAGTTAGTCTAGATTGTTATCATGTTCTTTGCAGCACCCATAATGGTTATTGTTAACTTTCTCCTTTGCTTCAAATGTGTGTGTATAAAATCAATAACAAATGAAATTAAATTTATATTTTCTTTTTATTATCTATTTACAAAATATCTAAAAAATGTATTTAATTCCCTGTGCTTTACCTTTAATTTTTCAGCACTTAAAAGTCTGCTTTGCACCAAGTACTTTCTCAATGTGGAACCTACTTTTATATAAGGCATAAAAGAATCCTAATGCTTATTTAAGTTGAGAATGATAGGGAATAAAATAGGGGAAAAGAAACTGGTATACAAAAGAATATTGCATTGGTTTGCCTAGTAGCTTGGCAATATAAAACTCAAGTATATTCTACTTCATACCTTTACAATTTTTTATTTTATGTGACAGCACGTGACATATCACTATATTATTGATAATTCAATATCAATTCATTTCCTAACATTTATACTGCTACCTTTTACATCAGAAAACAGTAGACCATTAGAAGAAACGTTATCCCCTTCCATAATAAATCATATGTTCACTTTTGCATATTCCCTTTCCCTGAAACATGTACATTTGATAACCCATACATACCTCAAATATGAAGTCACAATTTAAGTTAGAATATAAATGTGTAATTATTTTTATCTCCTAATTTACTACTCATCATCAGATGTTGCCTAACATTTCTCTGACTATTATTTGGGTATTCTATAGCTGCTAGACTCAGCTGCTCTCACCACCATCATAAGAAACCACTATAACAGTTTTTAGAATACTGCATTTCTGGGTTTTTAAAAAGAATTTATTCTCAGGATAAATATCATTGAGTAGAATTATGTCATATAAAAGGACCTGATCATAGCCTACATTACTGCTTCTGTCTTCTTAAACAGAGATTATTACTTCTTGCCCTAGATGTTTTGTAACTTTTACTATGAAACATTTTAAGACAAAGAGACTGTAATAATGACTTGGCATGAATGTGCAGCCATCTTTAGCATAATCAACTAGTGACTAATCTTGTTTCATCACACTCTTGCTAACCTTTAAAATGCTGCAATTTTTTAAAATAAACCTAGACTTTTTATATGTATCATGTCAGCATGAATCTCTAAAAAACTGATAAAGTATAGGTATAGTTAAGTGATCACAGTGCTTTATTAAAAATGACAAAATATTTAATATACAACAATGTTCATGTTTGATTTTCTACAAAGTGTGTTTGATAATAAGCTTAGTCTTTTTTTTTTTTTTTAAGCCTGGTGGTGGTGACGCAGGTCTTTAATCCCAGCACTTGGGAGGCAGAGACAGACAGATCTCTGAGTTCCAGGCAAGCCTGGTCTACAGAGCAAGCTTCTAAACAACCCTTACTTCACAGAAACCCAGTCTCAGGTTGGGAGTGGGCTCCAAGTGTTTGTTTATAACTAATTTCTTCATCAGAATTCCAACCAACTCCTTATGTTGAAATTGATTTATATAACAACTTTTTTACATAACTAATCGTAAAACACCCTCCCATTACATTGCAGTATTGTTTCCATCGCCAGATGAAACTTTAAGATATTTTTAAAAATTGCATATTCTAGTGTATAATTAGCCAATAACATAACTGTCATATTTGTTACTAATCTTACAGTATTACAAAATGCTGAGTCATTTCTGAATAAGATTTTTATAACTAATATTAGACTATATTTCTGAATAAGATTTTTATAACTAATATTAGACTATTTCTGAATAAGATTTTTATAACTAATATTAGACTATATTTCTGAATAAGATTTTTATAACTAAATTAGACTATATTTTTGAAAATAATTGGACCGTTACACAGTTTTCACTTCAGTAAATATTCTCAGTAGTTACAAAAGTAGAAATTTAGTCCTAAAGTTTTCTATGTGAGTCTCAGTGCCTCCTAAATAACCTGTATAAACCCTTGGTGTCATGTGAAATCAGACTACTGTTTTTATTGTAGCAATAGAAATTATTTCAAATGTTTCTTCTTATTAATAAGCAAAATATTTAAACATTCACAAAATGTCTAATACACAAGTCATCAGTAAATGTTATATTCTCATTTTCATTATAACTATCACCAGGAAGATCTAAATTTTCTAGTTTTCTTAATACACTGTTAGCGTATTCTTCTTTAATATATCTGAAATATATACAAAAATCCATCTGAAATTTGTTTTAATGTGCTACATGAGAAGATATCATAATCAGTCATTATTTAATTCTACTGGGCACAAATAAAAAGTGATTACTCAAACACAGCCTTTGACCCAGACTGCTCTCTAGCTCTTCTTCATTGTGATTTGCTTATTCAAGAATAATGATACCTGTCTTTTGTTTTGTACCTTCCAATAGTGTTGGTATAAGACTACATCAAGCATTTGTTGTTCTTGTCATTGGTTTAAAGATTTATGTGTGAGTGTTTTGTCTGCATAAATGCATGTGTATCATCTGCATACTGGTACCTGTGGGAATCAGAAGAGGGCATAAGATTCCTCTGAAGTGGAGTTACAATGGTTCTGAGCAACAATGTGGGTGCTGAGAACTAAAACCAGGCCCTCTGTAAGAACATGAGCTTCTAACTGCTGAGCCATTTCTCCAGCTTCTTGTCATTGATAACTATTGACTAAAGCCTCCTTTCAACACTATAGTAATACACAGGAAGTCCTTGATCCTTTTGTTTTGAGTTGGCTTTTGTTCAGTACCATCATACTTTATAACTATAAAGCATTTTAATATATGAACATCTCCTTTTGATCTTTTTAAAATTGAATTTGCTATCTTTCAATATTTTCTCTGAGATAAACTTAAGAATAATTTTGTCCAAAGAGAATATTTTAGCTAGGCATGGTGGCATATGCCAAGAATCCCAGGATTTAAGAAGCTGAGATATGAGGACCCTGAGTTGAGAACAGCAGAGCTGTCTCATTGTGTCCCACTTTGGCTGGGATACCTACTGTATCCCAGGCTTCCCTAATTCTGGCAACCCTGCCATCAGCTTCCTCAGTGCTAGGATTATAGAAAGAGAATTCTTAATAACTGTAACTCTAAAGATACTTTCCTGTCAAGTGTAGTGGTGCACGCCTTTTGTTGCAGTACTTGAGAGTTCAAGACCAGCCTGGTCTAACGAGTTTGCTCAAGACAGCCAGGACAAACAAGAACCCTTATCTCAGAAAACAAACAACAACATCCTTTCCTGATTCTAATTAAAATTCTCTGTATACAACAAAATACAAAAACAGACATCTTAAGTTACAAAGTGTCTTCTGTTAGAGCAGTTTATTCTCCATACAGGAACATCTTTCATGCTGTCCCTTAAAAGTCTAAATTATTAAAAGTTTCTTAAGGTAAACCCTTGTTTACTCTAGAGACAGTGCCATGTCTTGAATAAAGACTTTGTTATTTTATATATTCTAACTAAGTACTACTGTAATTTATAAAAGTTGGTGGGTTTTTTAAAGTCAGTTTTCTCCCTCTGCCTCCCAGAGCTCTTAACTCAGGATCTTTGAACACTGAGCAACACACAGTTCCCCCTCAGCACTAAAATAGCTGGTCTTTATGTTAATAAAAACCAATTAACATATATTTATTTTACTATGGAGTTTTGCAGGTAGATATTTTTACCTGAGAATAATTTGTTTGCCTTCTTTTGATACTAAATTTACAGCGTTGTAGACAATCAGAAGTGCTTTTTCCCCCATTCCATATTATAATTTCCTTGAGGTTCTATTATATACACTTTATTTTTTACTTAAAATTATAGGAGTCAGCTACAATATATTGTGATTTATGTTGTGAAATAAGTCTTTAAACTTTTTTATCCAGAAAAACTACCAATACTATATATTATAATAGTTCCTAGCTCTTGATCATTTCACGATTGTACTCTTTGTAAATATAAACAAAATTGATGCTTTCTATGGTTTTGGGGTTTTCTCTATATGTGGTTTAGCTACATTTTTCCTTTTATGTTTTCCCCTCAAGTACTCTTGATGAGCTATGGGATATTTCAAGGTTACCAAGTATACTATAACTCCAGCTTACATGCAATAATTATCTGAACTAATAAAACAAATTGGTATCCTTAATTTACCATATAATACTACTACTTTCTACTTATCAGTACGTCATAACTTTCATTCAATAGGTACCATACATTGCATCCTAGGATTGTTTCTATGTCCATCCATTCATTCTTCCATCCATCCATTTATTCTTCCTCTCCCCTTTTTCTCCCTCTACCTCCCTCCTATTCTCTTTCATCTTCTACCCTCTCCCTCCCCATCTCATGTCCTAGGACTAAAGGCCTTGCCTCAAACAATAAGCAATCCACAAGCTTGTGTGTGTGTGTCTGTGTGTGACTTATGGGAAAATGTGTTAAAAATTAAGAAATTGCATTTATTATTTTGTTACATTTTATTTGCTTAGAATGTAAAAAGGAAATGTGGGCAACATAAAAAAACATACAACTGCAGAGGATTTGTAAACGTGACGTACCAGATGGTGGCGCTATGATACAGTCACCTACAAATGGATTTTCAGCAAGCTCTCCTTTTACATTGGTCTTCTTCAATAAGTTCTCAAAATGAAAATGAAGGGGAATGTCTGGAAAAACAAAGGAAAACATTATTTTCAAGGAACACTACTCACATCCTAATACTAATTTTATTTCCTTTTAATAAATAGTACATAGGCTTAGGAAAAGAAAAGTTTATACAGTAAGAGCATTGAGAAGTACAGGTTATCAAAATAGTTTTCCAACAAGGTTGGTAACAGTGTTTAGAAAGTTAGTAATTTGGTATACTTATAAACAAGAAGCTAGCAGATGAGTAGCTGTAACATCCCTTTAGTATGTAAATTGAAGAATCATTATAAATGATGAGTAGACACAAATGAACCCAAAAGATCTTTATGAATGCATTTAAAATAATGAAAATGGTCTTTATGAAAACATTTAAAATAATGATATGTTTACATGGTTGTTAAACAGGGAAACACCGCTACATGCATAATATATGAGAACATCAAATTTCACATTCTTTGACATGAACAAACATAAGTGAAACTAGTTGTATAAAGACTAAAATTCACTGAAAAGCTGTCTTCCTTCAGATAAAGTAAATTAAAAATATTGACATATTTTATACTTAAAATTAAGCCATGTTAACACAAGATTACATAACTTTATTGTGTTCAAGGGTGGCAGGTTTGTTCAAGTGCTACATGTAAGTACATGGAAATCAGAGATACCTCATGGAAGTTTACCTGACCTTCTGCAGTGTGGGTCCTATGGATTGAACACTGTTGTCAGCTTTCTAAGTTCCTATTACCTGGTTATTGAGCCAACCTACTAGGCCAAATTTGATATTTACTAAGGATTTTTTTCATTCATAAATGTATAACCAGAGCCAATGAGCTAGCTTAGCAGATATAGGCATTTCCATCAAGCATAACAGAACTGACACCAGAGAACTGATCTCTGATCTATATGCACACATTATAACATGCATACAACTATATAACACACACACTCATTTTAAAGAATGTAAGAAAAAGTCATTTTAAAAGCATGGATAACAGACACCTAAATGCGTCCTGAGAAACATTTTTAGCATTTTTTGACCTATTGAATGTTTTGCCAAAATTAATCATGAACATATATATGTTCATATATATTATATGATATATATATATAATACATATATTAGGATAGACTAAAAGAGGTAGTCTGTGGATCAGGCTAGCCTCAAATAGAAATTTGCCTGCATCTGCTTCCTTAGTTCTGAGATTAAAGTTTTTTTATCTCCTTGGCTGTCTCAAAGATATACTTTAATGGCAAGTCCATGTGTAAATAGAAATGGAATTTGCTACAAAAACATGAAAAAATGAAACGGAAACAGAAATTAAATACTATGCTTTAAAACTCTTTTTAAACTTTTCAAGAGTTGTTTTCCAGTTGCTTATTTCTCCAAAGAGCTGTTCCTGCTCTAACAAACCATCTGTTCTGCCACTGTGAGGGAAACAGGACATATGCAGAGCTGGACTTTGTTCTTCCTGTGTACCTCCCTCAAGTACCTTGTGGACTTTTAGAAAATATTTTATTTGCTTATATCTTACATTTAGATATGGTATTAAAACGAATACAAGTACCATGAGGGATTTATTTCTACTTTGAGCACCTATTTACTGAGATGTTTGTTGACAAAGCTTTAGCTTGTAAGTAAAGAAACTAATCTTACTAGACTAGGAAGTCTTGGAGTCTGGAGCATAAGTATATATTGATATGATCTCAGAGTTATGATTTAGAGTGAGGCTGTCTCAAAAGTTACATCAGGAGAGAAGCACATTAGTTCATTATGAAAGGTAGTAGGAATGTGGGTCTGTTGATAATGACCTCAGCGCCTTGCTCTGTTGTTCATTAGCTGAATGACTGGGTGAATAGCCTCTCCTAGTGTAATGTGTTCATGTGTAAGATGAAAAGGACAGCAGAATGTACTCTTATGGGATTATGAGAATTAAACAAAAATATCCAAAGTTCCAGGGCTACATACTTAGGTAAGTCTCAACACTTCCCCTCTTCAAAAATAAAACTCAAAACATTTTTAAGAGATTCTGTTTTAAATATAAGAGACTTTAAAAGATTATATTTCATTATGAAAAGTACTCAAGTTTTCACTAGGTGGCTCACCCGATGGCAGTGACAGCACAGGATGAAAAGAGGGATCCAGTTTCGTCACATGTTCTCTTAACAGCTCAGACTTGGAACTTTGCTCCCAGTAGTCCGAACGTAAAGGTGATTCCATGTAAGGCATCTGTGTTGCATTTAAAAATGCTTCTTTTGAAGGCAAAGTCTACAAAGAAAAACGCATAGGTTTTACTTGCGTTAAGACCTGGTCCCACACTTATGTATGTATGTATGTATCTGTGTGACACTAGAGTAAGTCCTGGTTCGGCAAGTCACTGCGATATAGAATGAGAAAATTAATGGCCATGTATCTAGAGAGGTGTGACCAGCCCCTTCAGGGTTTTTCAAAATACAATAGAGCAATATCTGACACCGTCTTTTAGCCTCCTTGAGCACCTGTGTACACATTTTTGTCAGATTTTTTTTAGTTAACCTTTTTACTGTTTCCATTATAAAAAATTTAAATTTTTTTCAAAGATTTTTATTGTATGTGAGTGTTGGTGCTGATGAAGGCTAGAAAAGGGTGAGGGATATTCCAAACGTGACTTTTGTGGGACATTGTACCGTCATGACTGTACAGGGAATTGAACTCAGGTCCTCTTCAAGAACAAATGCTCTTAACTGCTGAGCAATCTCACCAGCCCTATTGAAGTTATTTTGAAATGAAATTAACTGTTATCTATTAAGCATACCCCAACAACTATGCCCAGCTTTCTTATTGCGCCAATGTATGTTTTTATTGTCTCAACTACTATACCCAACTTTATTACTGCGCCAATGTATTTATATATTGTCTCCAGTAGGAGATATATTGTCCATATGTAATACTAGTTTGAATGTTTTTAGTTAATTCTAAACTCATTCTTACTTGGAAATCTAGCCATACTGATAATATTTAACAGGAATGACATTAATTTATAAAAATTTCAAATGATGTGTGTGGGGCTGGAGAGATAGCTCAATAGGTAAAGAAAGTCCTTGCCAAGTGAGGATGAGAACCTGATTGACTATTCCCAGCATCCATGGAAAACTCCAGATGTGACAACATGCATTTGTAATTCCAGTGCTTAGAAGTGGAGACAGAAGCATCCTGGAAGATCAGTGGCTAATCAATCAAACCAATTGATGAGCTCCAATTTCAGGAGCCCTGCCTCAAAAGATAAAGTGGGGCTCTCAACCTACTGTAGTCTGAAAACTTACAGCCTAATTCCAGAACTGTGCCCTACAAACCCTCCCTTTGTATGAGGGCCACCTATTAAGTCAAAGAATGCTCTCTTACAAGCAAATGGAGATAATCACAGAAAACCATAACTGTATCCAGGTCAAGAGAGCGTAGGGAGCTACTTTATTGGTTTTCCAACACAGAGTACTCAGCCTTAAAACCTCATGCACACAACAAAAATGAACTCAGCAGGTTATATATTTGTGTGTGAGCATACAGCTGTGTGGGGTTTTTTTTTTGAATAAATACAACCAAAAGAAAAAGAGGTATTAGCTTAAGAGTGGCGTGCACCGGAGAAGTTCCATGGAGAGTAAAGGGAGGGAAAGAAGTGATATAAAACTATTAAAAAGGCGGTGAAGAAGACAATGAGTATCAGCCTTTCCTCTCCACGCATAAATGTACAGATTTACACACACACACACCTCCACATAGAAAAGTAAAATTTTAAAAATGATCTTGATTGTAGGAGCTTTTGGTGTATTGTTTACCAGGATATATTCCCAGTTTGCCAAAATAACTTTTTTTTTCCTGAGCCTATCGAAATCACTACATTTTTCCCTGATAAGTTGCACTGTCATATTTATAAAGGTCACGTCAACCTTGGATTGTTTTGAAGAGTCTGAGTAGGAGTTGTCAGATTTACTTTTTCAAAGGCTCAGCAATTGATTTACTGACTTCATATATGTTTGTTTTATATTTCCCTGATGCCTGTCTTACTTTCTTTAGGATTAATCAAGTGCTTTGCTACAATTCTCATTAACATGTTCTTTTAGTTTTCTGTTTCTATTGTGTGTGATATACACGGGTGTATATGTTTATGTTTGTGTGCATTTGTGTGGGGGTAGATGTATTCACCATGTGTACATGTAAAGAGCCCAGAGGTTGGTTTCAAATTTTCTTCCCCTATTGTTCTCCACTTTACTGTTTGTTTTTGAGACTGTATACGATTTAACCTGATACTGGCCAGCGTGTACCACCACCCCTGGCTCTTTGTATGGGTGCTACAGATCTAAACTTGGGTCTTCATGTTTGTATACAGCAAGCACCTAACTGACTGAGCCCCTCATGCTTTTTCGTGGTTTTCTATAGAGTATAATCATAATTTTGTTTTGCTCCTAAATTCAGAGTATTGTTCCTTCACAACTGCTGCTGTCATCTAGCACTTAAAGTATTCATTTTTAATTGCAGTGCCTGTCTTGTCCATTGTAGGCCATATGTTGTTTTGGTAACTTTGCTTTCTCTTTAGAAGCTTTAAGATCTGTGTGTGTGTGTGTGTATTCATAAATTTCATGAGAATCTGTTTAGGTGTGGGCTATTCACTTAGTTGACAACTGAATAATTAATGGACTTGTTCAAACTAAGTATATATTTTTTACTCAGGTAACAGAAATATATGCTTGTGTTCTAGAAAATTCCCTTGGCCTTATATTCCAATCCTTACAAAGGAAGATTAAGTCCAATAATTTTATTTCTAATTTCTAAAAACTCAGTTCTGCTTTATGAGTATTATAATAGTCTGTTCTGGAAGTTATCATATCTCTACCAAGGTCAGCTTTAGTCTCTTCATCTTTTTCTTTCCTTTCTCCAAAATCCTACCTTCTCATTTCTCATTTTCAGTCTATTGTTTTCCAAGAGACAGACTTGGTTAACATTTACATTTTGTCTCTTTCCCAACTGAATATGAGCTCCATGCAGGTGGGAACCCTTCTATCTTCTTCACTGTGGTATCTCCAGTGTCTAAGAATTGAGTGGCACACAACAAGTAATGTTTCTTACTAGAAGAGAGAAGTAAGGGAAGTACAATACTGCTCCTCAAATACAGCACTATAAAGTCTAAATATTCCACTGATAGACATAAAAGCCTCTCTTCCCAATAGAACTCCTTCCTGAATGATGTTTTATATGCACTTACGGAAGTGAACTGTACCAGCTTGAAAGTACTGGAAGTTTGCACTTTGTAAGGCTCATTCATAGTAAGCAGACCTGTGCTCTTCTATTATGAAAGGGAAGATAGAATAATGTTAGCCCTGCAAATTTCTCCAAAACAAGAAATATTGGGCAAAAAATAGTAAAAATAAATAAAGGAGTTGGAGAAGAAAATGTAGCATTATATTGGGCAAATGTGATAGAGAAAGAACTATTTCATACACAAAGAGTATAGGGAAACAACTACGCAAGGTTACAAATAGAACACTTGTGTTCTGAAGAAGTTATAACACTTGCATTCACAGCACAGTGCAGTTGTAAATCAGATGCATGAAGAGAATCAGGTCTGCTTCATGTTCTACCATGTCCTAATTCTTGGTATTACTGTACTATTTATTAGCACATGTGTGAATTGGGAGTAACTTTTTCTATTTCTTCCCTTCTAAAACTTCCTCTATCATGTCAAATCAGTTAAGACTAGTCATTCATTGTACAAAATGTCTTTGTTTCAAGTGTTTTTCCTTCCAACTCAGTCTTTATTACATTACATTGAGTAGATTCTAGTAATTACCTGTTTCTCTAGTCTCTCCTTATTGCAAACTGACCTTTTCAAAGGCACCATTATAATCATGCAAAAATAGTACTTCTGACATTTTACTTCCCCAAAACAAAGCTCTTCATGGATTCCCCAACTAATTATTCTAATTCGTTGAATCCTTATCCTTCTCATTCACACTTGATGAAGGCTTACATGGCAGACATACATACATATCCTCTTAATGTTATTTAGTCTCAGCATGACTATAAAGTAAGTAGCCATACTATTTTTCCTGTTTAATTATGTGTTCCAAAGCAGACCTTTGGAAAATTCCTTAATGAAAGTGGGCACAAATTCTTCCCCTTCCATATAAAGTTGATTATTGTCTTCTCCAGATCTGTGAAGAATTTTGATGGGGATTGCATTGAATCTATAGATTGCTTTTGGTAGAATTGCCATTTTTACTATGTTGATCCTCCCAATCCAAGAGCAGGGGAGATCCTTCCATTTTCTGGTGTCCTCTTCTATTTCTTTCTTCAAAGACTTAAAGTTCTTGTCAAATAGATCTTTCACTTCCTTGGTCAGGGTTACCCCAAGATATTTTATGCTCTTTGTGGCTATC